AACAATAGCGATATATGTACTTGAGAATATAATGAATTTCCAGACTTTAAAGTACTATACTTCTAGCCGTGATTAAATAGTCGAATACAATCGGAATTTTATAAAACTATCGAAGTGATGATCTGATATATATTATATATAAATATATAATGTATTAATTGTAGTAGAATGGTTGCTTTGTACAATTATAGTGAAATGTATTGAGATAACAATGGAGTTATAGACTCAAAGTAGTTTTAGAGTTGTGGGTAAGTACATATCTATAATCTGCTGTGTTAATTCAAATATTTTTCTACATAAAATCTGTTTTGTCATTTAAAGACTTCTTCTAAAGTCGGTGTTGTGTTTTAAAGAATTTTAGCTTTCATTTCGATAGTTATTTTTTGTATATATCTATACGTATTTCGGCAAATTCGCTTTTGCCTTCATCAGAATTTCTAATATTCTCCTGACAAAACTTCTTTTAATATCGAAAATCTGTAATAATTTTTTATCTAAAAAGATAAAAAGAAGAAGATATTCAATACTTTTAAAAACAAAATAAAGACGATTTACAGTTTCTCAAAAATGTTTGTATATGATATTTTCTTTAACTGGAATAGGATGAGACTGTTGTCTAAGGATACGGTTTCTTTACTATGCTTTAACTTTAAAAGAATTTATTTAAATTATTTAAAGATTTGTTTAAAACAAACGATGTGTTATTTTATGTTAAGATTGTCGTATTGCATTTCACGTTTTTTAACAACTTTAATAATTTTTATTAATTTTAAAAATAATTATTTGCATTCTCAAAAAAATTATTTACGAATAATTAAATACAAGAATTAGTCTTGGTCTTTGACCACTGATGGTGGGTATTTGACAATACTCGAAACAGCTGTATGGTCAGTCAAAAATTCAATTAAATAAAATACTATAAAAGGAATTTTTATTGTTGTAGTTCACTACTATTCGAAAAATCTCACGAGATTATTATGTATTCAGTATTTGATTAAAACTATTTTAAAAAATATTTATTTAGAATAACTATAAGAAATACGAAATATCCTTCAATTGAATATAAAAGAAGCACAATGGATCTCTTACGCAGCAGTGTCTACTATGCTCCGTTCTAGAAATAATAATAGTAAATTTATAAGTGATTTCTTTAACCTCATATACTAATCACTTATTTACCTAAATTGTTTATTTCTTTGTCGACTTGCGATATGTTTTTGAATGCAACTTTTCATCACAAAATTGAAATAGATTAAAAATTAATCTTCCTAATTATTAAGAATAGAGAATAATTTCACTTAGAATAGAGAATAATTTCGCTTAGAATAGAGAGCATCGGTATAATTCTAAATTTATTGGAGTAATTCTAAAAACCATTTTCCTTAATATAACTTTATATAATAAAAATATAGTCTATTAATAATAATCGTTTACCGTGTTACCAACGGCCTGTTAGGTTAACAGGCCGTCAATCTAGCTACCTCATATAAGCTACTGGACACGGTGAAGGAGAATATATGACTACAAAGACCAATCAGGGGAGGAATAAATAAGTACTTATAAATTTATGTGTTGTCGGAAAAGTACGATTAAGTGAAATAAATTCATAATCAAAAAATTAATACAAGACAACGTTGCTTATTATAAAAAAAATTTTAAAATGTCTATAAAATTTCTTTCTAAATTATTAAAATCTTCCGTATGTAGTCTATTTGGATCAATAATAGTGATTTAGAATATTATAGCAATAATTAATTTTTCTATTATTTAACACAACAATTGATAAATTTATGTATATATAAATGTTTAATGTTAGAAAACAATACTTAGTATGAGAATCTACAGAGTATCTTTGAAATTATAAGAACCTACGGCAGGTAAACAATTTCTAATATCGGTCATAAAAATATTTAATTCATAGCTGTTTAAAAAAATGAATTCTAAATTATATTTAAGACTTATTTAATTAATTAACGTTTGAATTTTTTATTTCTACCAAACTAAACTAAATGAAAAAAATAATTATTTGTCAAAATTATTATCAAAGTTTCTTTGGTAGATAATCTAACGCTAAAAATATATCAAATAAAAACATTTAAAAACATTTAAAATAAAAATTAATTTTTCTTAAAATGAATAGTTATAAATCATATTTAAATCCAATATTTGATGTACATATACTTAAAATAAAAATCTAATAATTTCGAAAAGTAAACGCTTGTGATTGTATAAATATTGTATGTAAACTAATGGCAAATTCAAAAACTAATACTAACACTTTAATAGTTTATAATATCTAGAAAATTCATAAGCATTCGAATTCTTAATGTTGGATAGCCAAACTCTATGTAAGAAATATCTATTTTCTGAATAGTTAGTCACTTCGAAAAACCTGCGGCAATTAACCAAATCCTAAACATCTATTCAAAAATATTTTATTATAATAATACTAAAAATAATTTTCTCATAAATAACTCTGGTATATATATAATATAAATACTCAATATTAAACACAAATGTTAATATAGCAAGTATTTATTTATTTCTGTTTTTTTTTTTTTTGAACTATTTAATCCTTCAAAGCCTTCGGTTAGTAGTTATATATATCTCTCTCTTTCAAATAAAATTCATTTGGGTAAACAATATTAAAAATAATTTTTTTATAATTAAATAAAAAATCTTATATGTGTCTACTACTCTATTTTATTTAAATATGAAAACCAACTATTTCTGTAAATGTTGAGAATATAAGGAAAGAAGGCCGGCCTTCGGTAAGTAATCGAATATATTGTTAATATATTAAATAATATTTTTTGAAAAATTTAAAAGTAGCCAAAATTTTCCTATAACGAGATGAAATATTTTATATGAATATTTAATATTAAACTAAAATTTAAATATGAAAACCAGCTATTTCTGTAAAAGTTGAGAATAAAAAGAAAGACTTAAGTTGGTATTCGAATGCAACCATTCATCTTAACATTTGAATAAGATAAGAATTTATATATTCTTGTAACAATATAATAGCTACTAATAATGAATTCTAATTTTGCATTAATAAATTATATATTTTTCTGCTGAGATATCTGAAACTGTCTACCTATATATTATTACGATCCATATAGATATAGTAAACTAATCGGAATTGTGATATTAGAAACCTACAATTTATGCATAGCTTAAATGGTATATTAATTAATGAACTAATAAATGAATCGAACATATAACAAAATGTCTCATTTCCACTAGATGTAGTGTCTTAAAATAGTCATCTAAGTTTAAGTGATATATAAATTAATGAACCAATAATCGGACATATAATAATATCTTTAATCCTACCACTAAGTGTAGTAACTTAAATAAGTCATCAAAGTTTAAGCGGTATATGAATAAATGAACCAATAATCAAACACATATATAACAATATCTCTCATTCTAACACTAAGTGTAGTATTATAAATTAGTCGTCTACGTTTAAGTGGTATACGAATGAATGAACTAATAATCAGACATACAATAATAATATCTCTCATCCTAATACTAGATGTAGTATCTGAAACTAGTTATCTAAGTTTAAGTGGTATACGAATGAATGAACTAATAATCGGACATATAATAACAATATCTCTCATCCTAACACTAAGTGTAGTATTATAAATTAGTCGTCTAAGTTTAAGCGGTATATGAATAAATGAACCAATAATCAAACATATATAACAATATCTCTCATTCTAACACTAAATGTAGTATCTGAAACTAGTTATCTAAGTTTAAGCGGTATATGTATAAATGAACCAATAATCGGACTTATAATAATAATATCTCTCATCCTACCACTAAGTGTAGCATCTTGAAATAGTCATCTAAGTTTAAGCGGTATATGAATGAATGAACCAATAATCGGACATATAATAATATCTCTCATCCTACGACTAGGTGTTGTATCTTAAATTAAACATCGCAATTTGAAACAATTAAAATAGGTAGGTAGGTAGCTTTAATCGATCTGCCTAAATCCGTAGTACTTGGGAATTGTAAATAGAAATTTATACGTACTCATTGCTATTTTATGAAAATTATTTTATTATTTTTTAATATTTTTCAAATATATATATTTCTCTAATACTTGATTTCTAACGATTCGTTTATTTTATATTTTCATAATTTTATTATTAATTCTTTTCATAAATAATAATTCTCTTGTGTACGATAAGACATAATGTATATATATATACTTGTATGTTAAAACTCAATTCTGAGGCTAAAACTACAGAAAGTGTATATTTGTAAATAATGTGTAATTTATTTAAATATATTTTTAAAAAAATGAATACAAAATTATGAAAACAAATATTCGACAAGAAGTCTAGAGTTATTACATACAATTTTAAAGAAAATATTTTCGTAAAGCAAAAACAAATATAAACTTTTTAATAATTAACAGTTTATCACACTTTAAATAAATTTAATTATTCTTTAACTGAATATATGTTATTTTGAAAAATTTAATGTTATAACCAATAATCGAGAAATAATTTAAATGTAAACGATTATATCTATATCTATATCTATATATATTAATGTTAAGGTGTTAAAATGTTGAGTAATTTAATTTATTTTGAGATGTTCATTTAGATATAGTCAAGATACGGTACCATAAAAGGCAGAAGGAATGAATTTGGACGTGAAGTAAAAAATTTAAAAATAATTCAAAAAAAATTTAAAGAAAAATAAATAAAAATTAAAAATTAATTATTTAAAAACAGTAGCAAAAATAAAAAAAAAAAACAAAAAAAATTATTAAATAAAAAATTTATAGAAATTTACAAATTATTTTTGATATACTATATTTGTATTTGGATGTATGTAAGTATGTTCGTATGAGTGTCAGGAATTTTCATAAATGAATTTAAATATATAAGTTTTTTTTATAATAATCATACATGCATGATAATGTCTTGTGAAATGGAATTCTTAAGTATTTAAACTGAATAAATAATTTACAAAGTGGATATATCCAACAATCCGTGTGAGTCATGCTGATGCTGATGATGATTGGCATGGTGGTGGTGGTGGTGGTGATGGTTAGGATAGTGCAGCAGTGTTAGAGACCCGCTGCTGCCGACATCCACCACACTATCTTCACTAACGCCTCCGGTATCGATGCGTCCAACAACCGTTGCAGCTGCGGCAGTGAATACTGGTGTGCAATAACTCAATTGGGAGTGATGTTGCAACGCCGGAGAGTGTGATGGTAATGATTGTGCTGAAGAATGGCTACCACCCGAGGTGGATGAGCCAGATGCTGTCGGACTGGGTCTGCCGCTATGATTGCTAACGAAGTTTGTCAATAATGTACCATTAGCGACATGTAAGCCGGATGAGCTTGTTCTACTCCTAGCTGAAATACATTCAGAGTTTTGGTTATCCATGGCGCCATTTTGTTGTGTTTTAACACTATTTATGGAATTGATATAACCTGTTGGTGGTGTTTCACCAGTGGAAAAGAGCTGACGATGTACGGCAGATTGCAGCTGAAATGTTGCAGCGTGTGACGCCAAATGATTTGACGATTGCTGATGCTGTTGTTCCAAGAGATGTGGTAGCAAAGTGGATTCGCTATGCTGTTCGATATTCAAGGGCAGCGGCGGGTTTTGTATGTGCTGCTGATGCTGATTGTGAATAAGAGGTGTTAGGACAGGGGGTGGTGATGTTGACCCATTTGGGGTAACACCTGACACGGCAGAAACCGGAAGCACAGTCTGATTATAGACGCTAGCCATTTCTCACATATGGGCAAGTGGTGCCATTACACGCATCGATTGCTGATGCTGATGCTGTTGTAAATCTGGTGAACTATTTTGGTAATGAATCAAATTGCGTTGATGGTGTTCAGCTGCTGCGGCAGCTACAGCTGAAGCTTGCATGCTGTCAGGTATATGATACATGTTAATCAAATGATTTAAGTCTGACGATTGTTGGGAGTTCGCATATTCTCTTTTCATAATATGATTGTTATTAGTGTTGACTGCAAGCGTTGAGGATGCGCCGGCATTTTGTTGTGAAGAATTGTGCAAAGGACTAGGCGATACAGGTTCGGATTTAATACTTGAGTCGCTAGGGCTATGACTTTGACAGGAAACCTGCGATCCTGGTTGACCTGAAAGGCCATATGGTGAGCCAGGCTGTTGTTGGACGTTACTGTATGGTGAGCTCGGCTGTTGAAGATTTCCATAAGGAGATGTTTGGCCACCAGAAACAGTACCATACATGCCATATCCACCACCAGTCGTTGCATTCATATAATTCAATGAGCCAGCAGCTGCTGCAGCCTGATGCATTTGACCCATATCATATCGATGATAGTTACCCATATATGCGCTATGCTGACTTTGATAGGCTGCTGCCGATGGATCATGCATCATATAACCATTTGGCATATAACCATTAGGTGTACTCATTTGATACATATCGCGATTAACAGCGGCTGCTTGTTGTGCGGCTGAAATCGATGTACTCGAAGCGTTCCGAGATGATACATTTGCATCAGATGGTTGTAATAAAGAACCAACACCTAATGGATATTTTTCTTTTGTTTTTGTTAAAGTCTTCGTTTTACGTCTTGGGCGATATTTATAATCTGGATGTTCTTTCATGTGTACAGCTCTTAGACGTTTGGCCTCATCAATGAATGGACGCTTTTCAGCTTCTGATAGATCTTTCCACTGTGCTCCGAGTCGCTTTGAAATTTCTGAATTATGCATTTTCGGATTGTCCGAAGCCATTTTGCGACGCTGACCACGTGACCAAACCATAAAAGCATTCATTGGCCTTTTAACACGATCGGCATTTTGTTGATTCTTATTTGTTGTTGAATTATTATTATTATTAACATTTATATTTCCCGTATTATTGCTCGCAACACCGCTCCCACTTATTGTGGGACCCTGACTACCCATACTCGAATGATGGTGGGCATGGTGGTGCGATTGTCCAGGCGAAGTCATATGATGACTGCCAATGCTGGTGTGCGATGATTGCGTTGGACTTAGATCACTTGAACTATGCAACGGTGAACCGTGCTGTTGTTGTATACCCGAATTATTACTTAATGTATTAGTCAAGCTCGATTGCAGTGTACTAAGTGCATTACTAGTACCGTTGCCAGAGAGTGAAGCAGAACTTTGGCTAGAGGCAATATGCGAGGTCATATGATGATGATGATGGTGATTGGATATATGCGATTGAGCCAAATGCGATTGCCCAAGATTCATAAGTGGCCCCAAAGCACTATAGGGAGATGCTGCATGACTATGAAGTGCGGCGGAGGCGTGATGAGGAGGCATTGTCGCGTGAAGTATGCCGCCTTTCATGTCCGATTCCATAGTTAGCATAATTTTTTTAATGTCGTATTTATTTAATAGTAAATTAAATGCTCTTTGTTATTTTTGTTGTGTGTTGTGTTCTTTCTCTATATATATACTTATATATATATATATATATATTATACTAAATTTGTTTTGTATAGCTTACACTATTATTACTAATATTATTTTTTCTTTTTGTTTAATTTCTTCTTCTTCTTCTACACTTTATTCCTTTACTTTTGCTTTAGAACCGAATTGCATTAGTTAGTTTTGAAAACAAACTCGTACGTTTATCCATTTATGTAGATTATTGTTGTTTTTTTTTGTTTTTTTTTTGTTTTTTTTCTTTTTTATTAAAACTAGAAACACATTTTTTAAGTATTTTTTATTTTAATAATTGTGTCACATAATCACTGCATGTACTATACGATACTCTCTTTCCAACATAATTAATTTTTTGAAACCATTCTTTATTATTATTATTATTATTATATTTTTTTGTAGATATATGTGTGTATGTATGTATGTTTTAGAGGATAAAGTGGCAATTTATATAAATTATTATTTTACATCTTATATATTTGAATATATATTTTGAATATTTTTTTAATAGCTTTTAATATTTCATCTTTACATGTACATATGTATTTCCATTTGTTTGTACAATATTTAGTTAGGATATACTTGCGTACATATGTAGTATAGTATATGCGTAGTATATAGGCATATGGAAATTATTGTTTTTCCGGATATAGAAAAGGTTTTATTTTGTTTTGGTTTTTTTTTTGTTATTGTTGTTGTTATTAATTAAAAGCACACTTTATACAATTAAAAAAAATTTTCTTTTTTTTTGTAATTTAAAAATTTGTAAACAAATTGTTTATAATGCACAGCACATTATCTATCATTCACACAGGTTATAAAACTTCTGATAAAAATCAGCACTGCAATTGTACGTACCACGGGTAGGTAGTACTTGTTGTTGGGTTTCTGGATTTCGGTTTCTGGTATTGGGTTTGGGTTTTGCAATTGTTTTACTCTCGGTCTTGTTTATTATTATTCTATTTTTTGTTTATTTAACTTTATTTGATTTTATTTATTGTTCGAAGGCGAAACAAACAAACTGAAATTGAGACTGAGGCTGAGGCTGAGACTGAGGCTGATACAGCAAAAAAACACACGACAACAATAAAACACGACATCAATCACCGAATTTCAAAACGCAAATGATTCTTAAAAATTTCACTGTTTGATTTTCCGTAAATCACAGATGCAGCAGCAATATCGGCTTACTTTGGTTTTTGCTTTGCTACCGGTAAAGCGACCAGCGAGAAGCGAGTAGCGAGAAGCGAGTCGACGCGCACAAGGCAACGGCAACGGCAAAGGCAATGGCAAAGCAAAGTAAAGTTAAGTTAAGTAAAGTGAAAAAATAAAAAATATTATAAACACCAAAAATTCAAAATGCGAACGAACACAACGAACGAATCTTCTTTGAACGCACAATTTAAATGTGTTAAAAAATAAATTATTGTTTATGTTAAAATTCTTTACACAGCAGTGTTTTGAAATAATTTTTACTAGAAACGACTTTTAATATAAGGAGCAACGCGAAAAATGCCTCCACACTGTTCTGAATAGAGCACCTTTCTGTCATTAATAGTCGAGTTCGAAACCTGTTCGAGGTGCTCGAAACGCAAAACAACTCTCAACTCAACATAATCACAACTCAGTAACTGTCTGCCTGCCTGCCTGCTTGCCTGCTTGCCTGCCTGCGTGCTTGCTGTTATGATATAGCGGCTGTGTTAGTTAAACCACCCTGTAAAGCTGCGTAGCTTCTTCCACTCGCACAAAATGGGATGATGTGCGAGTGAGAAATGTAGTATCACATGTATAGCTTGTCAAACGAGTTATGTGCACAACTTCGTTGAAATGGCATTGTATTGGTTAAGCACAGCTGCACTTGTTTAATATGTGTTTGTGTAGAATGTATTGGGAATATGAATTTACTTGTCATGACTTAACCAACAACAACAACCAACTCGACTCAACGACACATGTATTAGCGAAATGTGTTGATAGCTGTTAGCTGTTAGCGGATAGCGGATAGCTGTGCTGTGCTGTAAAGTAATAATAAAATTTAAATCCCTCATTGGTGGGTTGGATTTTGCGCGTTACTTCTCTTTCAGCTTGCAACATTTTAACCAATCAACTTGCAACAAATGATGAGGAGGTCTTTCCATTCTGTACGAAATACATTTGCTATCTCTTTTATACATGCATGCTCTTGCAAATACGTACATATTCGTCGTGTATGCTTGCTCTATGAAAAAGTTTCGACTTATATTAAAGAGTATAGGAAATATTCTAGTATTCTAGTGAGGTAGAAATGTTTATGTATTCGGATGTTGTAAGGTGGCGGCAACATGTCGTGTTATCAACGTTCGATACGAACGTGCCATAAAATAATTCTGTGCAGATTATAGTAAACTCTGTTGCCACATTTCTGGATTGTATGTATAAGTCAACGATATTATTGGACAAGCAATTAATGCTACGGAATGTTTTGCGTCTGCTACAGAAACTGTAAAGAGAAAATGAAACAACAAATGCTTATCGTCGCATGGAACTCAAACATTTTAGCATATCCAATTATGATAGCACCGAATTGGGCTGCTGTGCTACTCAAATTTATTTCATTTTAAACATTTAGATCTACTTCTATATTTTATAGTTAGTTTACTACATATTATACTAAAAAACTATAACATAAAAATATATACATTTTTTTTTATAAATTAATATATTAAGAAAATATAAATAATAAATTAATACACCGAGTAATATAATTAACATTTATAATTATAAAAAAGTATATATATACAATATGATTACTATAAAATAATACTTATTTTTTGTTAATTTTATATATAAAATTTTTTTGTTTTGCTCTTTTTTTTCTATCTTCATCCAATCATCATTCCAGCCAAACTTGTCATACAATGAATGCGTAACAACAAAAATGATGCACGTTCAGAGTATCAGAGTCAGTCAGTCAGTCAGAGTATATATTCACTATATTCTCAGTATTATTTCGTAAAAAAAAAAAAAGATAAAATTCACAATTCCACAATTCTACAAATCAACAATTCAACAAAAAACAAAAAATAAAAAATAAAAAATACAAAATAAAAGAAAGAAGAAAGCACATTTAATTTAATATAAATACTCTTATGTGGCTTTGTCAAGGAATAACGAAGAGCAATTGCAAAACTGAAAACTGAATGGTTGACTTCTCACATGGTTAATGGTAAATATTCGTTACAGCCAACAACAATAGTCTGAATTCTGCTCTTTATTGTGTTCCCCTCTACCTTCCATACCATACCATACCGTACCATACCATACCATACCATACCATACCACACCATATACTCTTTTTGCGTATCGCTTAAAACTCTTCCAATGAAATATAAACATCAGAATAGAGTTAAAGTCACAATGTGAAGTTATACAAGTACCGTTTGAAAAGAAATGAAGTCAAGGTCACACTGTAAGAGTTTAATCGTTTGAATAAAAAATTAAAAACAAAATGAAAACGTTTTAAATTGACAGTAAGATTTTAATTGATGCTAATAGTCTTCTGCCTCTTCTTCTTCTTCTACCACACTTAAATAATAGATATATTGTTTTTAATATTGAATTACATTTACTTATACCTATATATATATATACACACACACACACACACATATGTATATATAACAATCAATATTTATTATTAGTAATACACATTACAAGCTATTCACGGGTCCGCCCACTTGTTTGGTCTAAACTACATTGTACATCCATATTTATTTTATTATCAATAGAAAAGATAATGGCATACACCGAATATCTTCTTAAAGAATCCGAACATTTTGGTCTACTTATAGTTACTTGATATCAGTATGTGTTTGAATATATCTAAGATATACTGACACACAACTCTAACCGAATATCTTCTTATAGAATCCAAATATTTTTGTCTACTTATATCTACTTATATCTACTCATGGGCGTAGCCAGGGCCGAAAATTTTTATTCAAAACAGTAATAACATTTTGAATTCTAGGGGCGAGCGAACCGCCCCCCCACTTGCCCCTACCTGTGTACGCTCATGTATCTATTTGATATCAGTATGTACTTGAATATATCGAATATTACCTACTTCCGAAGTTATAGACACGTCTATATCAAAGACAATCTAAATAGTTCCAGTGAACAATAAAAACGGTGATAGGTTACTCACTCTAAATAAATTTAAACTCAAAATGATGTACTTGACATAATTATGCTGAAGAATAATAAGCTTGGTATATAATTATTCAAGCTTCTGCACCATATCGCAGAACAAGCAAGTCCTAATAGATTTATAGAACGTGGTTTTCGTTCGTTGAGAAATATCTTTATTTCTGATTTGCCTATAGAACATAATTCAGTTCTATAGACTACTGCACTTTAATTATGATATTAAGCAACATGAGCGTAATAGTCAGTAGTGTGATTAGGAGGATGAAGAGCACTGATATACTTTAATGACCGATATGGTTCACTTTTCTAGGTACAGTTTTCTATATTCATGAAAACACAAAGGAAGAATATATATAAATGCAAAGTGCAAAATTTGAGTGCCAAAAAAATTTTGAGACCAGCAGATCGATCAAAAAGAGTGTTCAATACCTGCATACGGCTATCGTTTAATCTATCATTTGGTTAAATTTATTCCATAGTCTAATTTGTTTGCGTTATTTGAAGGGACTTTCTTCAGACACCACATAACAAATCTCATAGATGGCGATATACGATTGTGCATTTTAGTAATAAAAATATTTATTTTACTACTCCGAAACACAAGTATATAGATTTTTTCCACGTCAGCTGGTGACGGGCAAATCGTTTTACGAGTTGAGAGCAATAGCACAAAATAGAAACCGGTGTATAACTTTTGTAGGCTCCTAATAGAGAATGGAAATAATATTAAAAAAAAAAACCTATTGTAAACTTATTTTGAATAAACCCAGTAAAGTAACTTTCGTAATCTATCTACAGCTTTTCT